ACATTTTAAAAAAGGAAAACAGTATTAAAATTGTAATACTCAATATACCAATAACAAAAGATGAATACAAGTCACATTTGATTTCTGCAATTACAAGAGGTGCTCAAAGTGGTTCCCATCAGCATCCAGAGACTTCTGATTACAGCGAACTATTGCTTGGGCAACATTGACCAAAGTGTCCACTTGTATACATTTTTTTGGCACCCCCAGTGTACATATATTTTTGTAGTTGTGTGTACCCTTCCTCCGCCCCTAGAGAGAAGGGGCTTTATTTTATTGGATGTTTGCCTGGTCTTTAAGCAAAACTTCTCATTTTAGTAGTCAGACATATTTTAATCAAAAACCTTAGTGAAAAATCGAGATAGTGCTTTCCTTTGGCCTACGGCACTCAACCATCACAAATCATTCTCAGAGGAAATCTTTATGCTGGTGAAATATATCATATGAACAAAAAATAGTACTCCAAACACATATGCACAGTTTAAAGAATAATTATATAGTGAATACCCATGTAACCACAACTGAGATCAAGAAACAAAACACTGCCAGAACCACAGAAACCCGCTGCCATATGTCCCATGCGTATCCCAGTCCTCTTCGCCTGAAGAGGTAACCATTATTCTGACTTATAAAAACTCCCTTCTTTTTCTTATAGCTTTACCAAACAAAGTAGACCCTACCAAGAAATACAGTTTAGTTTTTCCTATTTTAAAAAATATATGTATTCATAACATATTATATCACGTTATATTAAGTAAAGTCTGTTGCTCAGAAATCAATAGATCTGATGACTACTATAAATTTCAATGAATTACCATCTATACTCTCAGAAATCTAATAAAAGGGAATAGGTGGATGGAAATATTAAATAACATACAATAAAAAAGACTGAGCTTCTGTACAAATGTGCTTTTTAGTTATATTTTTATCTTCCAAATCATGGAGTATTAACTCAGCTGATTAGGGGCCTGGGCAAGAGGGGACATGAACCACAGGCTAACGTGTCCCCATAGATCTTACATAAAATATTCATTCAATCTCAGAGAATCAAGGATGGTATATGTCAGTTATATCTCATAAATAAATAAATACATAAATAAGAATTAACTTGATGGAAAAAATTATCATCAGGGATATGTTTCAGCCCTTAGAAACTATTTTATGTCACTAGCTACCTAGGAAACTCTGGAAAATGATTTGAATTAGCAGATATAAGAAGAGTACAACTAGAACTACAACTTCTCCATAATAATAGACATGCTGTAATATATATTCATGAAGCTATTTAAGGAAACATATATTGTACATTGGAGAATACTCTTACAAACAACACTATCAACCTGAAGGGCCTATAAGATAACACAGACTTTAACATTTTTATCAATTCAAAAAAAGAGACTCAAACCTTTCAAGTTCTTTCTTTTGTCCTCCAAATGCAATCACAGTTCGAATAGCTGCTAAGACCTCTTCAGCGACTGCTCCAGCTTTCGCATATGCCAAGAGTTCTTTATCAGTAAATGAAGATAGAACCTGTTAAAAAAATGCAACTTCAGATCATTTACGTTTTTCCACAAGCTAATTTTATAATTTGCAAAAGAAAAATAAATATATACACAAATCCTGCTTGTACATTAATATATGCATGGAACAAAACCTGTCTTTTACTTGTCTTTGGCCATGATGTACTAATGTTTAGTACATATATTCACTCTGTAAGCCACTTCAAATTCTTTTTGGACTGAGAGGGTATAAAATAAATTTAATTTAAAATTCTATTTTCTCACTGAATGCTTCATGGATCCTCATTTAAATAAATAAAACTGGGACTTTTGGGAAATCTTACATTACACAAAAGAAGGTATATACTATAGTCATAAACAAATATAGAGAAAGGCATCACAATACATCAAGGAAATAGTGTGTGCTCAACACAGCAATTGCTAATCGTACTCTAGTTCAAAAGTGTCAAGGTGGAAGGCCAGAAGAATGCTGGGAACCAAGCACTGTGTGGTGACAGAACTTGCAGCAAGTTTCACATGCCAGAGGAAGGCGGTGCTCCTGAGCAAAATGCTTGCAGCCACCAGGGAGGTCTTTGTTTTGTGGGTGCTCTTTGATCCTTCTGTTTGGTTTCTGAGCATTTATTCTGCGGAAAGAACAGTGCTGGGTACTTCATATACACAGGATCTCACTCATTCTTCTCAATTGCACATTGAAGTAGGTACTATTTCCCCCAGTTTTTATATGAGGAAATGGAGGGAGGGAGAGATTACATACTTCGCAAGTAAGTGAAATATGGATATACCACTGTTTGTTTAACAGTTGTTGAAGGATAATCTGCTGTTGTTGGATAGACCTTTTCAGCCGTTATTTTTTTCCAATACGCCTTTAGTCCCACTCTCTTTCTCCTCTTCTTTTGGGACTCCAATGGTAACAAGTGTTATTGTCTTTTGGCTCTTTCGTTATTGTCTTTTGGGTTTTTTGTTATTGTCCCACAGGTCCCTGTGGCTCTTCTCATGTTCTCTGTTTCAGACTGGGTGAATTTTTTTTGTTCTCTCTCCAGGTGCACTGATCCTTACCCTGTCATCTCCGCTCACTGAGCCAGGGCTCATCCATCAAGACTTTTATTTTTTTATTTTATTTTATTTTCAATGACCACATTTTGTATTTCAGAGAGGAGGCATTACGGATTCATGCCATAAACTTATTTACAAACATATCTAGTAGTATGTTCAGTTCAACAGTTTGATCCATTTTTCAAAGTGACCGCACCTCTTAAAATGCTCTTCTTCGTATCTGTTTCATGGATTAAGTAAAACATCCTTGCTTCTTAAGCAGTTGGTGTCTTACTATAAAGAAAGGTGCAACAAATCCAGATCCAAAGTACAGACTCATCATAACTAGCAACTGCCACTTGTTTTCCACTGAAAATGGCCAATTCTTCCCTGGGCCCTCCTCATAGCTCCTACGGACCACAGAGGTTGTGAACCTCCAGATGCTCTGTCCCAACATAGCGCTGTTGGGAGGCCTGCGAAAGGCGCAGAGACCGAAAACGGAGGAAACGGCAGTTCCACATCAACTCCATGACTTTTATTTTTGCTGTTGTGCTTTCAGTACTTTAATTTCATTGTGTTCTTTTTTCATAACTTATATTTCATTGCTGATATTTTCTATTTTTTCTTTTGTTTCAAGAGGATTTGTAATTGTTTAGTGACACATTTTTATGATAGCTATTTTCAAATTCATGTCAAATCCTTCCAGCTTCTGATGTATCTCAAAGTTGTCGGTGTCAGTTATTAATAACTGTTTGTTTTTTCTCATTCAGGTTGTGGTTTTTTGGGTTCTTAGCATCACACGTAACTTTTTATTGTATCCTGGACATTTTTTCTATTACATGAGGAGACTCTGGGTCCTATTTAAACCTTTATTTTAGCAAGCAGCAACCCTCTTCAGGTTTAGCGTGCAGTTTTTGGCCTACTTTTGTGAGCTGTGGTTCTAGCAGCAGTTTAATATACAAGCCTTTGTGGTATTATTTGTGTCAGTGTGGTTTATCTGGAGGTCCTACTGGCCCGTGCTTCTACTACCTAAGGGAGTGGAAGTGGTTTCTTCAGGTTGGTCCACCACGTACCTCTTGCTGGGGGCAGAGTATGGTGGTTTTTCTTACCTGCACCCTCCAGCTGCTCCAGTGTCTCTGGGAAGTGGAAGAGGTACCGGCACACGTGTCTAAAGAGGCTTCCGAGACCAGGAAGCTTGTTGTTACTGGGTCCCTTCCTGTTCTGCCTTCTTGCCCTGGTGTCTCTGGGTTCGATAGGAGAGCCTCAGGCTCACAGGGACCAAGAGGTTTCCCAGGCTGGGCCACATTTCTTTTTTAAACTGGCCGACAGCCAGAGAACTTAAGAAATTTGTTTAAAACCATACCAAAGTTTATGGCAGACTGAGAATTAAAACTTAGGTCTCTTGTAATAAGCCTTGGGCTCCATTTATTAAATCAATAGTCTCTGAAGCAATGAATAATTAATTATTAAGAGATTAACTTACTGTCTGTTTTCCTAACTTAACTAGAATGGACATCAATACATTTTAAACAGTTTATCAACAAATACTGACATGAAGAGTTTGCCACCTGCTTAATATTCTATAAATAGAAAAATCAATTAACACAGAAAGGTTCTGCAAAATATTTCAGCTGACTGACACACAGATGCAATGTAACCACCAAGAACACCACTTAAACAGCCTGATTTATTTTATGTTAGCCTTGGCTTTGGTTGGTCTTCTGCTATTTCATATCCTTTTGCCACATGAATTTGTAGTCCCTTCTCTAAATTGTGTTCAATCCAACAGAAATTCCTGGGCCCATCTCTCCACCACAACCCACTCTTACATCAAATCAGTTTAAAATGAACACCACACCCAGCCTTAAAAGGGAAAATAAGTTTTACTCCGCCTTTGTGATTGGGAGAGAGAACTGCAGACTTAGGATTTACATGCAAATAGGACTAGAAAGCATTTTTTGAATTATTTTCATACCAAATGGGTGTAAATGTACATAAATATAAAACCATTTACAACGCTGACAAAACTGTACAATTTATAAATTAAACAAAATCTACAATACCAAAAACATTAAAACCAATAATGTTAATTGAATGGGACACATAGGCTGTTCTCTGAACTTGAATCTCTATTTGCTAGTGAATACGGAATTGTCGACTACAGCACACAGCTCTTTAAGAGTTGAGCATGCCTTGTATATGAAGGTAGAGGATGAGTTACTTCTTTCTTATTTCTTCCTCAAAATAACCACATGACCCAGGATAGCAGGGAGTCCTGGCAGGGGTAGGACTCATTGAGGTGGCTTCTGCTTATTCCCACTGATTCTGAACAGAAGATTTGAAACCAAGTGTCACCTATAGAGTCAGGGTCATCATTTGGTAAAAACAGCCTTCCACTGGTGGGAGTGGAGCAGGGACAGTTGAGAATCTAGAGTCACAGGCTTCACCTACCTTTGCCCACATGGCAGCTGACAGTCCAAGAACAGGACTGATGGCCAAAATCACCAGGGTTAGCTTCCAACCACGTGTAAATCCTACTATAAAGCCAGTGAAAAACGTTGCCATTGACTGAAAGAATATTCCAATTTTGTCACCAATTCCTTCATTGATTTTGGAAACATCACTAAAAAAAAAAAATAGTGTTAGAAATAAACATTGATAACCCAGAACTTTTCTCCTGAATCTGGTCACTTTGTGTGTGTGTGTGTGTGTGTGTGTGTGTGTGTGTGTGTGTGTGTGTGTGTGTTTTAGTGTGGGGTAACTTAGCATACACCTAAGATCTTGCTCAGAAATATCCCCAGAAAGTATCATGTTTTGCTCTCCTGCACGTTCTCAGATGATTTTTTGAATCTGGCAAATGCAATTCCTTTCAGTTCTAGTCATGCAGGTAACCTCGTGCTCTGCCCTTATGTACAGGCGACAAAAAGATGCATAAGACATGGTCACTGCTCGGAAGGAATTCAGTCTCATTATTACGTCTAAGTGATGCACTAACATCTCCTAACAGATCTGATGACATCTCTTTCATTTTAATAAGAAGAAAGAACCACGCTTGAGTTCAACATAAAGGTAGGTACTTACTCTGTAAGCCGAGTGTTAAGCTCCCCAACATCATGCACGTCAAACCAGCCTATCTCCTGTCGCATTATAGCATGAAAAAATTGTTTCCTAATTTTAAGTATTTGTCTTCCAGCTGCCAGGCACCAGAATGAAACCTGAATGTAAGCAGCAATAAGCACACCAGCACCAATTCCAGTGTAATAATAGGCATACCTGAAAAACAACAAAAATTTACAGACACCCGGTTTTCTAACCAATACATCTTTCCCAAACGGACCACTCATTTTTACTTTTTTCAGCTATCTGGCTATTTTGCATCCTTAACGAATAGAAGGAGCTGTAATAAGCAGAGTTGATGGTTGACATCCGACTATGAGCCACAATAGTGTGGGATGGTTAAGATTGTGCTTTCTGCTTTGGCTCAAAATGCAGCTCTTCACTTAACTGCTGTGTAATCTTACGCAAGCTAATTAAACTTGCTAAGCCTCAATTTCCTAACTGGTAAAAGGGAGATAAAAATAGTAATGCAGTAATGTATGTAAAACACTTGGACCAGTGCCTGGCAGTTAGCA